GCCCTTAACATCTATATAAGCAGAACACAAACCCTGCTTCAAACAATATTCCAGGAAAGAAATTAAAGACTTCTTAATTAGTGCAGCAATTAAGCTTTCTTGGTCGCATTTTAATCAGCCCAGGCCCTATCAAAGGACAAACAGAACGATTTGCAGGTCTTTGAATTTTAAACAGTCTTATTGATTTCAGCACCATAAGTCTTCACTTGACACAGGGAGAATTTTCAAATATCAGTTACAGTAATTTGAGTTTTGCTGATACCAACTCTGGGATAAAAAAAAGAAAGCACCTCACAGTATCATTACACGACGGGGTGAGCAAGAGGAGGGCAATATATGGGAAAAGTTAACAGAGCAGAATCGCAGGATTTGTTGGTGTATTTATGGAAGTGTGTGAGTGCGTGCACAAGCTAAAATAAATCCTGTGCCTCGCCATAATTGTTAGAAACACTTACCGAGCAAGAAGCTTTGAGGAGTCTTGAACACTTTCATCAACCTTTTTTTTATTATTATTATTATTATTATTATTATTTCCTTTCTTTCTTGATTTCTAGTCCCATTGTTTCATTACAGTGGAAAGGTTAACCCAAATCTGTGGGAGCAAACCCTTGCACACTACCTTTGCTTTGAACTGTTTTGAACCGTGGCGATTACATATCCATGAGGACAGGAGAAAAACAGGAGAGCTGGTGAGCACAACGTGGCGAGGAAGGTAGGGAGCAGATGAAGGCTTCCTAATTAAGAGGTCACCTGGTCCTCCAAGTGGCAATATTGTGTGTGTCCGGCTCTGTCTTCATCTCCTCGAGGGTCTGCTTTGTGTCTTTGGGATGTGTAAGATAAGGGGAGGCACGAAAGGCCAGTTGGGGCCAAGTAGCAGTGATCAGAGCTGTTCTTCTGCACTGAAAAGGATGCAATATATTTACATTTTTCATCGTATTCCAAGTTTTATGTCAGCACTAGATCCTGCTATTGTAATTAAAGTTGTACAAGYTCCTCCAGGCAAATCTTCTGAGGCTTAAAAGGTGTTATCTGCTCTTATGGGTACGAGAGATTTCAAAAATGAAGCACCACTCTTTGCTTGCTGATTCTATTTGCCCACCTTGAAGATTTTAGTGTGGGGAATCTAAACCTTCCCTAGCAAAACCCCATTCTTCTTGCACTAAGGCACATCTTTCTAATATTAAAACACTGAGCTAAGAAAGTACAGCTTACAAGAACGCTTTCTGTCTGATAAAGTGGAAATTTTCCCTGCGCAGAACTACAATAGTTGAAATTATTCTCTCTGCAGATGTGTCATGCCGTGAGTCATATCTCACAGAAGAGTACACACACACACACACA